GAATGTTCATGGACTGCTGAAGGCGTATGAGGATGCCATTTTCAGTCAATTTAAGAGCTGAAGATGTTAATGCTATGGGACGAAAACGTTTGGAAAGGATAGAAGATTTGGATACTTTGGGGATTGGTATGATTGTGAACGGTCTCCAACAGTCGGGGATAGTAGAAGTGTGAAGGGATTCAGTTACAATGGAGACGATTGCCCCAGCTAGGGACACAGCACCTAATTTGAAAAGGGCTAGATGTAAATCATCTGGACCTGCAGCAGAAGACATCTTGCAGCTTTTTAAAAGTTTTAACACATCACAGTATGAGAGTGGTTCCACGTTACAAAGTCTTGCAACTTTTTAAAAGTTTTAACACATCACAATATGAGAGTGGTTCCACGTTACAAACATTGCTGTGACGAGTAGGCAGGAAGAATGTCCGATGGTTGGCGCAGGAATGCGGCACTGAGATCATCAGCGTCCACATCTACGTTCGNGAGAAGTCTTATACCTTGCCACAGGTGTTTGCTGTTTCCAGTCCTCGGAATTGGATCAGAGAATAAAGCGTCCAATCTATTTACTTCAGCTTTGATAAGCCTGGACCAATACCTAACAGCTGAAGCATTGTGAGATTTGTACGCACGTTCCTTTTGTCGTCGCAGTGACCTTAGTAGGGCAAAGTTTATCCTTCCGTTGGACACATAGAGACTTTGAACAGAGCGCAGTAATTAAAAATGGCATTGATTGTTTGGGTGAATGGGGGGACACATGTGAGCGATAAGATGATGAAAACCATCGGGAGGCCTGTCTGAGAGATTCATTCAGGAGATAAACACGTGTAGGTGAGAAGTTACGGAAACGAAGTCTGATGTGTACGTACTGTGAATAAACTTTAGGTCGAACTAAGAGCAAGCAATGGTCACTGGAAGAAATGGGAGTTTTTAGTGCTAAAGAAAAAAGCGTTGGGTGTTTGGTAATAGCTCCGTCCAGTATAGAGTTACCTCTTGTGAGAGAGTGACAGAGATCTGTCATACCCAATGATAAAAGTGGATAAGTGCTAGTATGGTTGAAGTCACCAACGATTATGTGCACTTTAACATCTAAAAGTAAGGCAATAAAAGGTATGAACAAGTCGAAAAATGACGTACGATCGGACTGTGTACAGGAGGGGGCTATATACAAGTTAGTCAAAATTGTGTGAGTAAAACGGGAAAATCTAGGGTGACACTGTATAGTTGGGCACTCGATACCTTTTGCTCAGTACTGATAAACAACATAGGATTTGACAAACCAGAAAACATTGACGTGTGACAACACCCCCTCTGGTCTTTTTACCTCCAGTTCCACGATCCTGCCGGTAAACTTGAAAGCCGTCTATTGATACTAGAGAGTCATCTACGTCCTTATTCAACCATAATTCTTGAACACGGACTGCACACGTGTTCAGATGAATACTTGATCGGAAGACACACTGACCAATGAGGGGACAGTCATCTTTGACAGAAGAGTGCATTTAAGGGCAACTTGTCATTCTGCACGCTTGCGTTTTTGGTCCAGCCTGGATGATGAGAAAATGGAGTCGCACAAACCGCTGAACCATCGAAGCATGTCCTGGCACGTTTGAAACAAATACTGTCATCCCGTGAGTAACGACGGCGCATGATAGTGAGTGAAAAGGTGAAAATTCCCACAATGTGACGGAGGGCGTACAAGTGTAGCGCAGCCAATCGAAGTGCGCGCCAAGTTGAACCATTAGCAGATCATCTAGGGGAGTTGGCTAAAAACCCTGATTCGAAACCAACCAAGAATCACATGTACACCTTGGTCGCGGCAGTGGTCACCGGCTCAATTGGGCATCGAAGTGTATTGGGCACCTTGGACGTTTGACCCCGTCCAAAGGGCGTGTGATCCATTAAACTGGACACCGGTCCCCAATGGACTTCGGACTCTTAGCTCCGTCCTGTTGTCTTGCAGGTCTGGCTTTCTAACCAGAAGCTTCGATTGGGGACTCCAAAGCTATCCCCCTTCCTCGACCACGGCAACCGGGAAGCAACATGCCCACATGACCCATGAACTCATTCTTCGACTTTCTTTCTGTTCATATGTTGTGGCACATTTGCCAGTTCTCTGTAATTGGTTACGTGTTGAATAAATAAATATTTTTTTAAACCGAACATGTGTCAGAGAAGTGTAGACAAGAAAATATATGCCTGTCTGTATCTGTTTAAAACCATTATGATCGAAATTGATATTTAAGTGAACTTAGGTGATTTCCAACTCCTGAACCCAAGAATCGATTAGTCGCTGGCGCCGTTGCCAATCCAGGACATCAGTGAATACGCAACTCAAACCCATTCAGTCATAGTTGTCCACTTATTTGATTCCAGTCCATTTTTTTTGTATCATATTCCTTGTCTTTGCGATAAACTCCCCCGTATACTCGTTCGAACAATTGATGCTTCAATCCGATGAAAATACAAATACGACTGCACTGGTTTCGGCCTGAAGTCATTTTGAAAGTCAAAATTTCTTTACTCCTGATTCACAAGATCCGTAGATGTTATCCTGCACTAACGAAAGTCTTTGATGTTGTTTATTTGAACCAAGAAATATGTTGCCCTGATCCGCACGACAGAACGTGAGCATACTTCAGAGAATGAGCTGGTGAGAATCAGGCGCACTATTCAATCACCAATAATTAAGATCATAGTCATTACTATATTCTGCCTGTGCACTTAAAGTTAGAACCAAAGTAATGGCATTTTCTTCTTTTTTCATTGATAGGCTGCTTTGATTTGTGTAATCATCCAATCACTCGACTACGTCATGTAGGTCATCGTCTCGCGCTTCAGTTGCTAGTCTCTGTTTTCATAGTTTTGTCCCCCTTAAATTTAATTGTGCCAATCGTCAGAACATTCTAACCTGACGCCTGAACAGTGCATCTACTCGTTCATACTAGCCAGCTTACCAATCTGTTCTTACTTGTCTAAACAAGTCGACGCTAACAACCACAACACGACAGCATTAATAAAATGTGACACTTTCTGAACCAGTTTCCCCGAGTCACTACCGAACAGTTTGGATTGTTTCCGTTTGTTTCAAAGCGGTGCAAACAGGTTCTCTTCGTAATTGTTCCGTCTAACTTTGGTGATTGAGAAAAACTTCCGAAGGTACCACTCTTTAAGTGAGCGGTTTTGGTCCCTTTCTGAGAATCACAGAGCAGTTAACCCGGTCAGTATCGTTTACAGATTTTATTTTCATGGGGGAATAATTGCCGTGGCTCGCTGGATCGGGTATACTGATTGTGACAAGCTTTTGGATCAGGGCACTCAGCACATATCGTACCAATAGATATTGTCGTGATGTGTGAATGAGTATCCTAAACATTTGACACCCGTGCATCTCCTGGCATTTTCAACACAACTATTCCCGCTGAATTCTCCCTCTGCTCCCGGGTTTCTGACTATTTTCTACACTTTCATTGACTTCAAGTTGAGCCATTATAATGTTATATCGTTGATAGCTTCCAGTTACTACACTGTTTTTCTCTGTGCGGTGATATTTCTTCTACCTGTCAACCAATTCCAAGTATCAGCTTTGATTCTACAATCAATCTGAACAAAAATCAGATTACCCTTTCCACCTCGTTTGTGCATCACATTTCCTATCACCTTTTGCTGAGTAGATCATTGGGGTTTGAATGAACAGTGAAGTTCGGAGATGATTCACTGCACAGACCACGCATAATTTTCTTTTTTGTCGTTATTCTTTCTCGTCGCTCATTCTGAACCGTCAATAGTTCAGTTACACCCCACCAACGAACTCGTTTTGATTGTTGACTGTTTTATTCACGTTTTCTCTCATGATCTTCTAGACCAACTCTGTGAATGATCTGACCTTCCGGAAAGACCTGCCCGTTCACCCATGGTTACCGGTGCCCATAAGCCATGGCACATCAGCCCCTGAGGACGATGCCTCTTCGCATACACTCTCCCCAGGAGCCTCCGTCACTATTCCCGTCTGGTTTCGCGCGCCACACCTATCCAGTTCACTGCATCGTTCTGGGCTCCTGCCTGTTCGTCACTGGCACTCACGTCACGCAACCCCAACATCTGACGTGCCGGTTCTCAGCGAACAACGCACTGTGCATTTGGTTTTTCAATACACTTCCCTAACACCAAACCCCGTCTATCCCGAACTGAAGTAAGATTCGTCTCTTATTGTATCGTCCTTTGTTTCAGAATACCCCCCCTCCCGTCGTCCAATAATGTCTTCGTTCATAACTTTTTTCTTCAGTACCCGTTTTGTGCGCCATCGTTCCGATCTGGAACTTCAACCCTCGTTACGTTTCAAAGCGCTTGCCACAAGGAAGTCGTTCTCTGGTCCACGGGACATATTCATTCATCTCATTATTCAGAATTTGACGAGCAACACCGTAAGTACTGTTACCAGCACTGTGAATCACTGATATTGTTATCGTCCGTTTACTTATCCCGACAAGAATGATGTACATTAAATTACTTTCAATTTAAAAACCTCCATCAACTCAGGTTGTTGTGGAAAATGACAATCGAAGAGGTGTTTAGTAGTGTTACGACAATCGCTCTCCGGTTCAGTACCGTGCCTAACCTAATGGGGCCTTTTGTGGTTCAACACTCTGAGTCGTTGAGCTTGGGTGGTCCGTCTGTATCGCTGAACAGCGTGTCTTCGCAACTATGGGGCTTAATTCGTCTACCGTTCATCACACAAGTGGGTACTAAAAATATGCACAGATGTACGGCGTGCCCGTCAATAAGCACCATTGATGAACTTAGGTGTTTATTTGCATTCACTTATTTCATGCATCCCGCGACCGGAGCTAGAATCCGCTCCCCATTTTTTCCAATATCTCTATTTTACTGACTTGCTCAATATGGTTAGTGAAATCCAAAATTGTAATATTTTTTTATCCCCCAGTAACTGTTAAAATAAAATCTGATAGAAACAGTATCGTGATTCAAGGAATTTTGTCATTTTTGTGGTTCAATGCATTCAGAGCTCTTATTTGGGTAGAACACCTGTTCGACTTCAGAACCTGGAAGCACCTTTTGGCATGGCTGTTCTTCTTTTGATGATAGCTGGGTAATACTATTTTTTGCATTTAGCACTTTTATCGTCAGTTGCCTTTAGCTTCATTCACTCGCTGTACTATTTCTTTTTTTTATTTTACCAGTTCCGTAGCTCGTTCGAAATACTACAGATCTCTTGTGCCAGCCGATTTTGGGTCTTGAAGCCCGTCACAGACACACCGAAGTTTGGGAAAGGTGAGCAATTCTGTTTTAACACACATTGACAATCTGTATTCCTTTTCATATGAGTAGCTTATCCTCTACTATGTGCTATTTGTTGACGTTTAACTCCTCGTTGGCAGGTGTTCGCTGAGTTTTTGTTCCCGTTCAGTAAGGATAATTTGCAAAGTGACTCCTGATATTAGTCAGCTCGTCCTTTCTGCTAATTATTAATAACACGAACTTATGATCGACTGAGAGTTGGATATTGCCTATGTATTAGGCACCCCGGAGGTTTGACCTCTTCCGAAGAGCACGTGCTCCGACGACGTGGATACCGGCCCCTCGATGGATTGTGATTCTCGCACACCTTCCAGACTCAGGCCTTGGCTAGTCGAGGGCTCCGGTTGTGAATTCCCCCAGAAGATTCACCTACATTGATCTGGCCATATTCCTCCTACACGTAAATTATTGAACTTTTATCTCTTCATAGAGATTAGTGTACAGTGATTTCTTTATCCCACAGTCTTGACTCGGACATTATGAGAAGCGTTTCATCCGAACACTTTTCGAAAGGGCCAAAACACACTGCCCCACTGAAAAGTTGAGGTAGCAAGGGGATGATTACCTCTGTCAAGTATTCCTCTGCAACGGCTACGCCCGTCAGCCGAACAATAACTCGAACACAACAACACACAAGGACAGATGGGCAACGGAACAAACGAATAGCCCTACCGTATGTGAAGACATTTCTGAAATGACCACGAGAATAATGAAGCCACACAGCATTCAAGTCACGCATAAACCAAGGAAAACCCTACGGATAATCTTACCGAAAACCAACAAGCAGCAAGAAGACAAATATCGAACAAATGTGATCTACCGCAGCAAGTGCAACACGCATTACATCGGTCAAACAGGGAGAGCTAGCAACTCGCATTCACCAACGCAAACTGGCCATCAAAAGACACGATCCGCTCTTACTCATCTCAATTCACGCGAGCCGAGAAGGACGACTTCGATTTCCAAAACATCAGAGTCGTCGATCAGGCCCGCACCAAGCACGCACGCGAATTTCTGGGAGCACGGACATTCATCGGAAAACTCGGTCATCCGACACAGACATTGATCAAGTCTCAACCCTCATTTGTAATTGTATAACTTTTGCAAGCTGAGATATACTTACATTTCAGTTAAAAATTGTACACTGTTCGTCACACCGGAGAAAATACAGAAGTATAAACAACTTCAATGGAGTGCTGTGTAAAATTAACTAATGTCTCTAAAGCTCCATTCACCCAATTAAAGATTGACGTAATTCATTTAGAACTCGTTCCTTGTTGGTCAAGATGCGAGCCAGATAGGATACAGTGGAGTTTTTTTAATGCTTATTCGTGACGGTTGGTACCGATAGAAGGAACGCGTGATCGAGTGGGAGCGACAAGAGGATAAGTCAAAATGCAAATTATGGGTGGGGTCTTTAGAATCTTATTTGCAAAGGTCATGCGAGACTTCATATGACCATTATTAAGTTCTGTGATTAATGACTCGGCAGAAATTAAAGATGCATGGCTTAATATCATTAATCCACGACGGACAGTTTTAAAGTCTTGTTTCGATAGACCGGGAAACACTACAGGGGTGCAGTAAAGTGACATAAGGAAAACGCATTGTTTAACAAAAGAGAACGAAACTTGCTGAAAGGTGCGAAATTGTCTAAGCTTTCGAAGCTGAAAAGAGAGGCGCCAAATTTTTCCCATACGGTTCTGAATGTATGTCGACCACCGAAGATTA